GAGTCGTCAGAAGTTCTCTTCTTCGTCGTCATCATCTCTATCTTCTTGGGGCTCTCCCTCTCTACTTGCGCCTTGGTGGCCCACCCGGAGCGGAGAGTCAACGGAGCATTTGTGGCTCGATATGCCGAATAGCCTTAGTGGCATCAGCCTGAGTGGCTCGGCGACTTAGTTATAGCCCTACGTGAGTTGTAGCGGCCTTTGTGATACACGTGACTGGGGCCTTAGTGGCAATAGCTCGACGGGGAAGAAGGGCCGTGGGGTGGAACGAAAGACCCCACAGCTCCCAAAGGTTCACTTCCAGGACACCAACCCTTCCAGACTAGACGTCCGAGCGAGCCTTGCGCTTCCGCGGCATCCAACACCACCCCCGCATCCGACTTCAGGAATCAAGAATTTCATAAGATCTTTCATCACTTTTCATTCCGTGCCGTTGTTATTTATTGGATTAATAGTAAACTATTTTTTACTGTGTGATACCAACAACATCGCATTCCGTCTAATTTGAACCTTTAGTTGGCCTTACAAGTCGATGACGCGATGTAAGCCCTTCCCATGAAAACAAGTCGTGTAAAGAAGTGGAAAAGGGGTGGTCTTAAAGACACAAACTGAAGCGGGTCGTATATTGCAAAGATTTCACGAACGAAATGATGTGCCGAGGAGCCATGCGATACTATCGCCGGCTATTCAGGTAGGTCACGTCGCCTGCGTGCCTCGCGCGTAGACGGGCGGACGATTCGGAGTTCCATTACCCATGACTTGTCGTGAAAGAGAGATTGGCGTTGTTTCATGGCGTCTTCGACCAAAATTCTGGAATGAATTGCTAGAGCGCTTCCACTTAATTCCTCTCTAGCAACAATGTCTGTAATCTGTTATTCACTGCTACACTGTTGATATTGGCCACCATTATTTTGTAAAGCATTTTGTATTGCTACTTGCTGATCTTTACTCCTTTTTTCTATTTTAGTCAACATTTTTACGCTTTTTACTTTACGCGAACATTCCTATTGTGCTGCCTTCTCTCATTTCTGGCATATTTGCGAGGGTTGGCATGTGATTTTTCAACATGAACCCTGTCATCGCCACGATGGTGATGACCCTCTCCCTCTACGCCCCGTCTCCTGTTACTTCGAGGCTTGGGCGTAGCCCCAAACCCCATACTTGTGCCATATAACGACGATAAACTGTGGCACAATTCGCCTCGTCTGTCCTACCGGCAAATCGCACTGACCGCTATAACATTCTTCGGTGGATATTGTAAGCACCCATAAGATGTATTGCAGATTATATCCATGTGTTTGTTTGTGAACCAGCGCTGGGATGCTGGAGACTGGAGGAGACCTCCCGGGGGGGGCTACTGACCAGCGGATATTGAGGTGCCTGAGGATATTGCCAGGGGAAACGGCTGACCCCCGAGGTATCATAGGGTCGCCGCCGCCCCCTCTCGTGACCACACATAAATACCGAGGTCAGAAAGTAATGTTATCTCTTTTCTACTCGACTCACTTGACTCACGTATTCTAGTCTCCAGTGGCTCAACACTGGGACCTGTTGAATGACCTATTATTTACTCTGTTCAACTTCAATCCCGTCATAACTATTACATCTTCGGATTCGAGGAAAACCACTCCATAGGAGCTGTCCTCAAGGTGCTGCTCGAAAGAACAGCACCCAAGTTTCTCATGCGCATTCTACGCCAGCCGAGGACGATTAAGATAAGCACCTTACGGCTAGGTGCAGCCGTTTCGCGGATCCTGTAGCACGGACGGCGCAAGACTCCAAGATGCTACTGTGCTTGAAGTGCCTGAAGCCGCCGCCCACGCAGACGAGTACAAAGTTACCGTGGACGAGTACAAAGTAAACTGCTGGGATTCGTGTCTGACCAAAACTCCTTCCTCTACTCCGCAAGGCTGCCAGGCTCAACCAGTGAAAAGGCCTCGCCAATGAAGCGACTTTCACGAGCCCCTCCTCTCCCCTCCTCCTACTATTCGCTGTCGCTCGCTGCTCCACTATCCGCCGTCCGCTGATCGCTCGACGTCGCCCAATCATCATGGATGTTGGTCTTCAACACTCAAGGAACAAGAAGTCTCGTTCAAAGAAGACACAAGTACATCCGCGACGCTCTTGTTAACATGTTGTACAGTATAATATATGTTCTTTCCCTCAACGTTGTTTTCCCCTCGAGGCGGCGCGGAATGTCCGCCATGATGGCGATGACCCTCTCCCTCTACGCCTTGCCTCCTATTCTTCGAGGCGTGGGCCCGTACTCCCCAAACACTTACCTGCTGTCTATAATCAAAGAAAAAGGGTACTTGCACAATCGCTTTTCGTTCTGTTCTCGAAACAAAAATCGCCGCTGTCAACCGCCATACACAATCCCCGCACATTAGACTGATATAGTAAAATAATTCAGCCACATCGTGCGTCATATTTTCGGTTATTTTCTCTGCCACCATCATTGTGCTCCAGCGCCGATCCTTACACTCGGGAACGTTTCTATTGCGCTGTTTTTTATTCCTGTTATATTTACGAGGGCTATCATGTGATTTTACCGATGAACCCTTTCGTAGACTGCTAGAATTCAGCACATGGGCCACGCGTAGGATTCCTAGCGGAAAACACTGCTTTGCTCGAAGAAAACACTGATTCGCCAACGGAATGCATTTGCGCTGTTCTGTTAATTAGGTGGGAAATTCAACTACGATTACAGGATGATTTGTTACCACTAACGATGAACGGCGAACGCTCACCTAATGATGCTCCTAATAATCCTATCCAGAATGTGTCAGGTATTATTTAATTCCAGTACAATGAACTGCCTGTGGACATTATGATTATATTAAAACCAGTCGGATCGCCCGGCTAACGCCGAGCTCTCCTCCTTCTTGGAAGCCCGGCTTCGCCGGGCTCATGCAACTGCTTTAGAGCCTCACTTAACTCGTGAAAGAAAGGAGCAAAGTAAGGCATAAGCAGGGCGATACTACTGTCTTAGGCATTTATGATGCTCTCATGGTGACTAACCGGTGTCTTCTAATCAAATAAATGTAGGAACGCGCCATATAGTCGCAGGGCACTTTTATAATGAAAAGTTGAAAGGTTTGAAATCTGGTCATGGATAATCGATTACTGTCCTCCCATCTTATGACAGCCACGGATTCTTCGGTCTCCGCAGTCGCTGCGTGCTCCTGTTCAGGAGCGTCGGTCGCGCCAATATGGTACCCTTCACCTCACCTATCCCCAAACTAACCTCAGCTATTCCCCGCTCAGCCACCCTACAGGTCACGCTCAGCCAATGGTTCTGAGTGCACTAAATGGTTGTGTTATGTTGTGGAAGGAGTTATGACTATTTCAGTTCCGATTGCGGTAGATCCATTTTCTTCCCATCTTTTCGCAACCGTAGACGCCTTACCGCCGCAGGGGCTATGTGCTCCTAATCGCGAAATCGCCGTTCTCATCTGGTATCCCCTCACCACATCATATCCCACTGACCCTATTCAACCGGCACCCACTCCCGCACGTGGTATGCAGCCGCCATGCAACATAGGGACACACTGCGCTCGCCACATCCCTCTTTTATATGCCTCGGTCCCGCCTCCCCGCGCTCCACTGACCAATCGCGTAGGTGACCTCTGACCCCCTGAGATCAAAACCCTATAGTGCCCTGCGCTTCAGCGGCATTCGCAAAGGACGGTTTTGACCCGCATCCTCCTCCCTTGCTAACGGACTAAGCGGTGTACAGGGCATTAACGAGGAGGCCACTCGCCAGATCCCCTTTGCCCTTTTTCTCATCAAGGGTCAGGTTTAATGGAGACATGTTCTCTCTGCGGCACTCCATCAGCGACTATGGTTGTCCACGCTCTAGGCCTAACCCTTTTAGGGGGGGGATACAGGGACGCGTCCGTGTGATCCCACCCAACCCAGCTGAATGAGAGCCGTATATGGCACGCAGAACGGAAAAACTATCATCCGAAGAAATTTCTTGCTATGGACAAATAGGGTCTCGTTCCACACAGCGACTTGTCCCACCTCAAGCAGCGCTCTCGAAGTCCGCAAATGTTCGTCAACATACGTGATCATACGCATCATTACAGACTTCTACTGACTTACTGTTCGTGTGAAGCATTTTGGTTGGCTTTTCTTCTCGTTTCCTTGAATACTAAATATTCAAAAAGATCAAGTTCATAAAAAAGCTACGAAACTTTAATCCAGTTTGATGAAGTAATTTATAACAGGGCAATTCATTGCCGGTGCGATTGTCCCCGTTCGAGCAACTTCTATTTCACAGAAGTTATCATCTAGTTTTGCTTTGAATAGAACTAGTGTAAATCTGCTTTGATTTGTAGTTTTGAATGAGGTCTTTTCCTAGAATATTGCGGAAATGTGGATCATGACGAATTTACTTCCTTGTGCAGCTCGTTCACGTTTTCTGAAGCTTTATTTCTCTTTTTACAGGGTGATGCTGCCTGTAGTAGTACGCCAGCTTTCACGGGGATTGCAGCGAACTACAGCTGTAGCACTGTCTACATCTGTGCCCGTGAAGCAGGCAGGCGAGGAGAAGAAGAAGAAAGACCGTATGTTGTTGTGTATTGAGGAGGGAAAAGCGCAGTTTGGCGTCGAGGGGAGGGGGCATTTTGCACTTTTGCTACTTCCTATCGACGTGTCGACCCATCTAGAGAGCTATTTCATGAGCTTACAAGAGTTGACAGGTTTTACCATGGTGGCTCGACGAGCTTGCTCCAGCTTCACAAGAGTTCACAGGTTTCACCAGAGTGAGACTTGTAAACCAGAACTAGTGAAGCAGTAAAAAAGCAAAATGCCCCACCCCTCTCCCTCCCCTGCCGCCGAACTACGGAAATGTTAGAAATATGAAAATATTTATGATCATATAAGCGGAAATATAAATGAGTTGTCGGAGAGCTTTTCCAATAGTGTGAGGGAAATTTATTAGGCTGCGTTCATACTTTGGTGATTGTGAAGTATCAGAGGACTCGCGAAAAAGAAGATATACGTATCGATTTGCAGAATCGGAGAATTGGTGAGAAATCGTAGGTTTAGATGGATTGCTGACCGGTTCAAATGAAATGTCATTCAGTCAATTTCTATTTGCTCATTTCGTCTCCGATTCGCGAATTTGATACGTAGACCAGATGAATACATACATCTTCTTTTTAGTACAAGTATAGCTTCCAATCTCAACATTCGTCAAATGTAAACGCCGCCTAACATATTTATATACTACGTTGGATGGATTCAAAAATATCGACATATTTTAGCCACCATTCTGAAGCTCGACGAGGAAAACGGACGAAACTAGCGAATTTTGGTCGATATGTAGCAGAATGTCTTCCGAAATTTGTTCAGCAAGTCCAAGTGGGTTCTTCGCTTTTTAAATTTTGTTTAGAACCAACTGAGTTTACCTATGCGTTCTGAAACCTAACACTTTATAATGTTTGCACTGATGAATAGACCGAAAACTTCGCATTGTACAATTAACATCTTTTTGCCACGATTCCACTCGGTCTCATTTTGTACTGAGTTCACTTTTCGGCCCTTTCAGCTTGGAATGTGCTTCTTGAAGACTCCTTACTCCATCTGCTGGGGTCACTGTGCCCCGCTCTGATCTCGTTTTTTGTCTATTTGCCCGAACATTTTTACAGTTTTTCGCATCCTCCAGAACTCCTTCCCCTTCTTGAGATCGAGCACAATCCTCACCTCCTTTGGTAGCATCGTTTGAGCACAATGCAGTCCTTTTAACCCCCTTCAAGAAGAACAGCGTCTGCCTGTCTCCTTCCTAAAGCAGAGTCAAGCGAAGAAACCTGAAAATAGAGCCTGTGCTGCCTTTGAACCGCTGTTGTCTCAGATGAA